TAGGGTCATCTCCTTCAGCCACAGGTATCCTAGGTAAAGATTATGGTTTTACCACTTCATAGATAATCCTCCGTTATATATTTATATTAAACTTTCCTGCTTCAAATTATGGCACAGCTCTTGTTTCTGGATTGGACTGAGGCAAACATACAAAGCCGAAACTGGGGTTTGAGTACTTCCCAGTGTTTTCTTCAGCTTTACAGAATTTTAGTGTCTTTCAGAAATCTATACATTTACATGATTATTGCTGACTTTCCTTCTTGGGTGTCCTTCATGCTGCTATGCACCCTTCCAGGCCCTATGTTCCTTCCTTCCAACCCCAACTCACATCCCGCCAGCACTAGCATAACCTTCCTTGACCTTTACTGATGGCTCCCTCCTTGAAATTGCTATAATTATTGTACATGCTAATCCACTGAGCCTTGTTGTGTTTTAGTTTTGCTGCTGTTACCTTCTTGTCTTTCAGTATATAAAGTCCTTAATACAAAAATATTGCCTTTTTTCTGCTGGAACATTATTAGGAGATAATTTTTTCATGTGTGTCTTTGACAGTGTCTTGTATCCTGTGCACCCAAATATGAGGGGGTTTCCTTTCCACTATTAAAATGATCTCTGAGAGAAGAGAGGTGGCTTATAGTCAAGCCTTTACAAAATTTCTTAAAGACCCTTTTCTTTGTTATTGGCTTACACAAACATGTGTTGATTGGAGAAGCCCTAGCTAGTCTCATATAACCCAAATTTCTATCTTTGGAGTCATGGGGATATCATTTGAGAGGGTTGTTTTTGTTGTTTTTAAAGATATAAGGAAGTTTAAAGTAGATTTAGTTAATATTTCTTGTAGAGGGGTCAAAAACCTCACACCTGCAAATACTAGAGACACTTAGAGTGTAGTTAAGTGGTTTTGTTGTGGAGATAAAAACCATAGAGCTGTAGAACAGATGCAAAAGCAACCAGCTTTACCCAGATTCTTAGTGAAGGCATCTCCCACGCATTCAAAAAAGTGTTATAGGTAAAATAATTAGAAGTGAAGGTGATCTCTTCCAATTCCAAATTCCACAAGTGGTACTCGTGATAAAGAAGTCATTATGAAGAATTTAAATAAAATGCATGAAATATGGAAGTGGGGCAAAACCCAAGTATCTAAATTATTATACTTGTAACTCCAAGACCACAACCTGAGCTGAGACCTAGCGTCAGCCACTCACCTGGCTGTACCACCCAGTTGCCCCAAAGAGGAGACATTATAAATAAGATTACTTTCTCTTTGGGCATATATAATACATATTCTATGTTACCCAAGGTGTAAGATCTTTGGAGTAGAGTGGTGGCATATTCTATACCGACCTGTATAGAGGAACTAACGTAGTTCTCCAAATGGGAGAACTCATAAATGCTGATCTTAGGAATGTAGACTTTATTTTTCATTTTTTTAAAGATTTTATTTATTTATTCACAAGACACACACACACACACACACACACACACACACAGAGGCAGAGACACAGGCAGAGGGAGAAGGCAGACTCCATGCAGGGAACCCGACATGGGACTTGATCCCGGGTCCCCAGGGTCAGGCCCTGGGCTGAAGGCAGTGCTAAACCGTTGAGCCACCCGGGCTGCCCAGGAATGTAGACTTTAAAGATGTAACTTGGGTGCAATTCTTTGCTGGAACCTTCCCTGATGTCTTCTTCCTTTTTTAGAGGAATTGCCTCACCACACAGTCTAACCCCGCTCTGCACTTCCTAACAGACCTGTCTGTGCTTGCCCTCTACACTGTTAAGTCCTGGAATGGCAATCATGTCTGATTTGTCTTAGACTTTTAGGTAGGTACCACAATGATGTACTGGGATGAAGCGCACATGAGTTTGAACAATGACAGAGGAGTGCCATCCCGGTAGTTGCTCAGATTTTGGTAAAATTAATTAGATTTAGGTAGATATAGGGAAGATTGTTCAAGATATCCCTTATTATCTAAACTCTAATTACTTGCTCTCTGATCTCAAAGACCCAAAAAATTTGGATTTGGTAGTGGTATTCACTATTAGAACTCTGGGAAGTGCATAGAAAAAACCCCGTAGGAACAGGGACCTGGTTTTAAGCATGGACTGAGATGGTTTCTGGGGCCTCTCTGATGCATTGGAGTGGGAGTGATTGCCCATGTTTCCTGCATTGAGGCCGCTCGCCCTGCCCTCCAAACCCTTCTCAGCCTCTCTTTCATTTCTTGTTGGTGCTGTCCTGTCTCTTCTGGCTTTGGTGTGGCTACCAGATGTGGGAGCTGAAGGGAAGTGACTGCTGTCATCACTAGGGTGCCAAACTAGGGTGGCATATAAATTAGAACTGCATGATGCTAAGAAAACCCAGAAAACTCTGGTTTATGAGCTACTGCTAACAGAGAAATTATTATTTTAATGTAAACATGATATGGTTTATTCCCACAAAAAAGTTAAGCAATACTTGGGTAAAGTTAACACTTTCCATATGTAAAAGACTAGAGTGGTTTTATTTCTGAGTATGGTATTGTGTCCAGTGGAATGTGTAGCTAAGCTGTTGTTTTGACTTTGTACCGTTGCAATGGGGTTTCCATACCAGAGGAGACATATTAAAAAAAGAAGAACATAATTAAATTTTTTTTTTTTATCAAATGCCTCTTTTGTGCCAGCTACAGGGCTATGTGCCTTGTTCCCTTGCATTCTTATAAAAATCATATTTACCACAATTTCTCCTTTGCTTTAACTGTATTTTGAGATAACCATGGATTCATGTGTTGGAAGACGTAATACAGATCCTGTGTATGCTTGAGCCTGCTTCCTCCAATGGTGACATCTTGCGTAGCTATGGTAACCACAGTGGGTACATTGTCACTGATGTAGTCCCTTAGCCTTCTTCAGATCTTACCTGTATTATATGCACGCACTTGTGTATTTTTCCCGTCCAGTTTTATTACATGTGTAGATTACCATTTCTTTTTCAATATATGAAGGAAAGAAGGCTGAGGTAAGTTATGTGAGATAACTGAAGTATAGACCTGGTTTGAATCTAGGTCTGTTTCACTCAGACATTTTATTTTTCAATAATAGTAGTGGTGGGCGCTCCTGGGTGGTGCAGTGGGTTGAGTATCTGTCTGACTTTTGGTCTCAGCTCCGGTCATGATCACAGGATCATGACTTTGAGCTTTGCGTCAAGCTCCATGCTGAGGCGTGGAGTCTGCTTAAGATTCTGTCTCCCTCTGCCCCTGTCCCCTGCCTCTCTGTAAAATAAATTAATCTTAAAAAAGTAATAGTCATGATGAATATCAGTAATAATAACAACAGTGGCTGAAGTTCACTGAGTTACATATGAAACAGACTATTTACCATGTGCTGGGGCTGTTCTAATATATTACCTCATTTAAACCACCCCCCCAAGAACTATACCTCATAAATTATATTATAGTTGAATTAGTATCATTAATTGAACTAATCATATTTCCAAGCAACAAGGAATTACTTTTACTGCTCCTGAAATTACTAATAAAATAGTGGAATTCAACCTCCTTTTTACATAATTTTCAATTTGAACCTCTGACCTTAATCACTGATCTTGGCAATTGTTGTTACTTTAAAGGTGTTTGTATATGTGTATGTATAAAGTGAGACCTGTATTATTATACACCCTAAAAATATTTTTACAAAATTATAAATAAAAGCTAGTTTCGACACGGTGCCAAGTTTTTAAGGGAATAAATATAAACCATCAAGAATACTTAAGAATGTAATAGGGAGACATTTTTTTCCCCTAAAGTATTATAGATCTTTTTGGCCCACATGCAGTCCCAGGAATGTTTGAGTTTAACGTCTCAAGTTACAGATCCAGCTTTCCAAGGGAAAGCAAACGCATTTGGTTGTGAATGATCACTGATTATCAGAATATGATAATGCTTTAGGAAGATCATGGATATACTAATCAGCAGGCCATAATTTATGATTCTTTGCTAGTTAAATATCTTGTAAAGCTGTCCCTGTGATGAACAGCAGCACTTATTCAGAGCAGGAATAACAACAATCTTGTGTGTTGTAGATCCCAGGAGTTCTCAGTGCTCTTGGAGACAGCAGACAGAAATAAAAGGAATTCTGTCCTTTTTACCTCATGTAATCCCACTGGAAAGTGAAATGTGTGCTGAGAGTTGATACTGACTTCTGCTGGGTCACCTCCCTGAAGAGGCCTGGGCAGGCACTGTCGCAACAGTTCTTGGACAGGAGTCTGACGGCCCCCTAAGGAGGTGGAGGGTTTCTGCAACAGGCTACTGGTGGAACAGGGCGCTACTGTCTAGCCCCAGAAAGCTTCTAGGGAGGAGGGCCTCGAGGAACCTGCACCCTTTTCCTTAACTCTTTGAGAAGGTGTCGCATATGCCCAGATTGGAGTTAAAGGTAAACTCAGTTCTGTGTAGATTGTGGTTGTTGTTTTTGAAAAATGAGCAGCCACAAGAAAGCAACACTATGTATGGCTTTATAGGTCTTAGCTTTTTAGAACTTGAATTTGGATGTAGATAATGCAAATGTTTTTGAAGCTATATATTATTAGGAACTCTTTGGAAACCACAAAACCTTTTTAATGGACCACTCTATCAATTTTCTGCTCCTCTAAGGAAGTTTTTCCTATTCATGACTCATTTTGCTCTTTGGCTAACACTGAGGCAAATGTAGTAACGATTAAGTTAAGGAATGTATGCGTTTTCTTCTTCCTCTGAAAGCTTGTACACATTTTCTGTCTCGGGTTGTGTCCACTTGGATGCCTGGAGAATGTCGACAACTGAAAGGTTAGGCTAGCCTGTTGATGCATACCTGTTTGGGCTTTAAAAGTGAAAAAGGTTCCTTGGCTTCCTCGGAGAAGTGTTCTTCTTGACGGCCCAGAATACAGATCCAGTAAAAACGACATGTTCCAGCCATCCTTCACACACACCTTAAGCGAAATTAATGAGATCACTCTACGATTACACTTTGTGTTTTATTTTCACTTTCTAGGTCTGTATGAGCTGTTGGCTGCTTTGCCAGGCCAGCTGCAGCCACATGTGGACAGCCAGGAAGACCTGACCTTCCTCTGGGATATATTTGGTGAGAAGAGCCTGCATTCACTGGTAAAGGTAAAACCATGCTGATGTTAGATTCTCTTTGTGGAAAAACATATGGAAAAATATTTTGAGCCCGTCTAGTAAACCAGAGATCAAATTGTTGCTGTCTGCAAACAAAACTGTCTTGTTCCATTTCCCTGATGGGTGTGGAAGTTATTAAAGATTCTACCCAAAATACCTAGATGATTTCCCTTAATGGTGGTGATCTGGCTGTGTGCACTAATGCAGCCAACGTGTGCCTGCCCTTGTTTAGAAGAAGAATATGAAATAGTAGCAGGAAGGTTTAGACTCCTTATGGTCAACATTCATGAGCTGGAATTTAACTTAAGTAAATAAATGTTCACAGCAAAAATTAGAAGGAATATATTTTCTGAGGTTAAGGATGGCAGCAGTTCAGTAGCCACATTAATTTAAAATAATTTCCTTTAACAAAGTCAACTGAAATTCGAGCAAGCTCTTTCTTTATTTTTGGCACAAGGCCATTGAAATGGTATTTTGTGTATAAATACACTGAAGTTAAAAATGAAGAAAAACAGTTTCTGGAGATGGTTCTGGTAAAGCATCATGCCATGGAAATGATCAGCCACCAGAAATGAGATCTTGCCACACAGCAATGCTGGGAGTGATCAGAACTCTTAAAATAGTAAAATGAGAACAAGAAGCTTACTGGAAAATATGCCAGTTTTGCTTCTGGAAATATGAATTGCATTTTCTCTCATTTAACTCAAGCTGAAAAAAAAATTGTGAGTCTTACTTAAGTCTGTAGGAGATAGATACCTGTGGTGCCTTAGCTCTATCTGGACCAAAACTGAACTCAGGTGAACTTGTTACAGTTATCTGTCATGAGAGAAGGTTATTACTGATGTATAGTATTTGAAAATGAGCCACTTCTGATGTGCTTTTGCCTCACTGGGTAGAAGAAATCTTAGTACATTTTTTTCCTGTCACATTTGCTGAAATTTGCCTGCTTCAAGCAGTAGCAACTCTCAAGAAATGAAAATGTTGAGAGTGGCATTTTCCTAGCAATACATGTAAAGACTAGAGTGCTTGATTTAGTTTTTATGTAATTGCCACAGTATTTTTCTGTTCTGAAAAATTTTTGGTAGTTCAGTTGCTCTGTTGGGATGTGTCAGAAATGGCTTGAAATTCTAATTGATTGAGTTCAGGAGTTACTGAGGCGATCATGAAAACAGTCCTTTGGTGAATGTATGGAAGTTGGACAGCTCTGGATTTGTTCAGATTGATTTGATCTGGAAGGAATAAAATGAATTTCACATGGCATCAGCAACCCCTTCATCATTAAACAAACATGCCCAAACAATGTATGCACGTGTGTCTCTACTTAGTTGTAATGTGGCCACTGTCTGTTTCCTTCCTATGAAATGGAAATTATAATATTTGTTAACAAGGTAGTTTGTGAGTTTCAAATAAAATAGTGAAGATCTCCATTCTTTGATAGTTACATAGGTTAGGCAAATACAAGCAGGCATTTAGTATTTAATAAAAAGTTACAGTAGCATGTGAAAGACCAAAAAGTAGTGACAGGTGGTTGTTATTTCTATTAAAAGAAGAACACTAACGTTTTTCAAAAAAACCTTAGTTACACTAGCTCTTGAGTTTTAGGCTTGGTGGTTTCTCAAAATAAATGCGAATAGTAAGTGGTTAGGAAGCATATAGTTATTGATATCTGGTTTTAGAAAAACAGTGAATAAATAAATTGATGTTGCCAGCATTTAAGTGGCACAGTAGCATGTGTACTATTACAAGGATCTTTCAGTAATTGCTGTAAAATATGCTTTTAAAGTAAGGTTTACTGTGCCCCTCTAGTCCATTCTCTGTTTCTTACTAGCTGCCCCTACTCCCAGCCTCTATCACAGGCAGACCTCAAGTGTGTCCTTTGACTGACCCATTCTATTCATTTTCAAGTATGTAAAGCTGAAAATGCCTCCAGGAGACAGGCTCATGGGACCACAGTTTAAACAGCTGGAACAATCCACTTAACTGTATTCCAAATGCCTCTATTGAAAGTTGGAGGATAGAAGCCTCCAGCTTTTGAACATAAATCTTGATTGAGCAAAAGGAATTGGAAAAGATGTGTTTTGGAGTGAATCAAAATGTGCTTTGATGTTAGGCTCTTTTGCCTGCAATGGAAGCTGTTGGTTGAAAGATGGGTGAAGGCAAAACTGGATTTTATTCTGGCACAGATTTTGCACAGTATTGTACCTTATTTTATGTAAGAAAAAAAAGTGGTTGTTAAATCATCAGTTCTGATTTTTTTCTTAAGATTTATTTATTTAAGAAAGAGAGCAAGCACAAGCAGGGGTAGAGAGAGAGATTCCCAAGCATATTCCCTGCTGAGTGCAGAGCCCCATGCAGGACTCAGCCTCATGACTCTGAGATCATGACCTGAGCTGAAACCCAGAGTTGGATGCTCAACTGACTGAGCTACCCAGGCATCCCATCAGTTTTAAATACCTGTAGCTTTCTGGTCTGATGTAAAATATACTTAAGAGGAGGCAGTTTAGCGTTACAGTCAGTGACAGGTATGACATGCCACCTTAGATCATGAGCTACACTCTGAGAGGAAGACTGTAGTTATGAGCTTGTCACTGGAAACGAAATATTGTGGTCCTAGAGAATGTTAGTTGTGATTGTTTCTTTATGAGAGAAACTTCTAAATTGAAGAGTTGAATAATTGAAACCCTGAGCATGAGTTCTTAGAAGTATCTGAAGAAAGATGATACTGATAGATGTGAGAAATGTCATATATAAGGTGTGGCAAGATAAGAATATTGGTATTCACATAACGCAGGGAATGTGGTCACCAGTAAGTAGAGAGCCACACTTTGGACCTGTTGTTCGCAAATATACAGAACCATGAAACATACAGTTTGTGTCCCATTTTAGCCCCATTTCTAAATTTATCTTACACCTTTGTGTTTTTTTCTGGTGAGATTTCTTGGCTTTAAATTTTTAAATTTGTATTGTATGTATTTTTGAGATCTGGTTTATTTTAGAAGATACAGCATAAAGACATCCTTATTTATTTTAAATAAGATTGCTACTTCTGTTTCCTCAAGAAATTTTTGTTTGTATTTCACAATTGTGTTGGGTTTCCAGGATAAGAATACCAAGTTGTTAGGACCTTTTAAAAAGTTGCACATGTTCTCTGTATCCTTTTGAATAGCTGCATACATGTGTATGAGCAGGAGGAAAAAAAAGGTGAATTTTATCCTTGTTTTAAGGATTCTGAAGTATTTCAACAAAACACAAGTTGATTATTTTCAAGAAAGTTCTCTTGATGGGGTTTAATTACTGTATTTCTGTGATTTAGGTCTTAAAGGGGTAATGATAATGCTCAACCATACCCTTATCCCATAATTTTAACTTCTTTTTTTAAGGTAGGCTCCAGGCCCAGCATGGAGCCCTAGTGTGGGGCTTGAACTCCGTACCCTGAGATCAAGACCTGACCTGAGGTTAAGAGTTGGGTGCTTAACCGACTGAGCTACTCAGTCTCCCCTTACATCCCCTTATTGTAACTTTTGATGATTGTCTTAATCGTATTGTCTTTGATGAGTTCTTACTATGTGTCAGACACTGTATAGACCGCTAGGGCTACAATATCCAGTTGAATAGTCCCTAGCTTGCAGTCTGCAGTCTCCCGGGGAGGTTGTAAATTGGGGGGGATGGGCAGTTACAATATGCTAGGATAGGTTGTGTGTAGAGCTTTTTATGAGGGCACAAGGTGCCTAACTCAATACTGACCTCAGGGGCTCATGGAGGATTGGGCATTTTAAGCTGAGACCTGAATGTTGAGTAGGCATTGCTCAGGTAAGAATTTATGGGGTGGCGCTAGGCAGAAGGAACCCAAGCACCTGGGGGCAAGAGCCTACACTGTGCCTTTAAGAAGGAGCCTGGCAGTTTCTCTTGGCTAATACATGAGGTAAGGAAGGGTGTGGGGAGCAGTGCAAAGTATGGCAAAAGAAGGTAAGCCAGGATCTCTTCTTTTTTTTTTTTAAGATTTATTAATTTTAGAGCGAGCAAGCAAGAGAGAGAAAGAGAGCTGCACGTGAGCATATGAGAGAACGTAGATAAGTGCTGGAATGAGCAGAGGGAGATGGAGAGAGAAACTTTAGCAGACTCCCCACTGAGTGTGGAGCCCTATGAAGGATCCAGCCTCACAGCACTGAGATCAGGACCTGAGCCCAAAGCAGGAGTTGGGGCGTAACCAACTGAGCCACCCAGGGGCCCAGGGAGAGACCTCTTCTTAAATGGCCTTGACTTTATTTGAACACGGTAGGAGCCACTATGTTGAAAGGGTTAAAGCAGCAGAATGATGATATCAGACTTTTTTTTTTAAGAAATAAAATTTAGTTGCTATGGAGATGGGATGGGCCTAGAGATTTCCAGGTCAAGACGATGGCAATGAAGCCATGGGTGAGGGAAGGAAGGTGATTTTTGTTTTGAGAAAGAGAGTTGGATGCTCAGCCTGCCCTCACCAGCAGGGTGATGTTTTTCAACGTATTGAAACTCCTCCCCGTGTTGGTTAAACCTCAGCTCCTAGACACCACACCCACTAATCCAACCACCAGATTGTTGACGCCAGGCCATCGGGGGTTGAGAGAGGGCTCCAGAGACCTGCTCAAGCCCTGACATACCACTTCTTACATATTTGAATATCTCCTCATAAGAAAGGTGATATTAGTTTTATGTTCATTTGCTATTTGACAGTTAACCAAGTAGAACGTCCTACTGTGTAGTTGGATACCTGGATCTTGAATTGAGGATAATTAGTAAGTTCTAGGTTGGAGGTAATAAATAGACTTGGGAGTCAGGTTGCCAGATAAAATACAAGGCATCCAGTTTAATTTGAACTTAAGAGAAACAGTAATTTATTTATTTTTTAGTGGACTTATGAACTGTGCTGTTTTTTATTTTTTATTTCTGTTTGTGAAGTCTCACAACTCTGGGGTATCATCAACATTTAGATAGTAACACTCTCTGTAACCACT